CTGAGAATCTACTTTGTTGGACCTAAATATTTTATGTCAAAGGACTTAGACAATTGTTCTTTCAATCTATGAATCATACTAGTATCTTGTTCCATAATTAACATCTCATCAACATATAATAAGAGAATAATAAAGTTACCATCAAAAAATTTTCTGACATACACATAAGGATGCATTGTCGTTCTTTTGTAACTATGGTTTACCATAAAAAAATTAAACTTTTTGTACCACTATCATGGAGCTTGTTTCAAGCGATACAAGCTTTTTTTTTAATTTGCAAACTAAGTACTTTTTCCCTTTCACTTTAAAAGCCTCAAGCTAATTTATATAAATATCTTCTTACAAGTCACCATGCAAGAATGTAGTCTTTACATCAAGTTGCTTAAGCTCAAGATTCAAACTAGTTGCTAATCCTAGTACCACTCGAATGGAACTCATCTTCACAACTGAAGAGAAAATCTCATAAAAATCAATGCTTAGTTTCTAAGAAACACCTTTCACCACCAATCGAGCTTTGTACTTCACTATCTTGTCACTATCATTTTTTTACTTAAATATTAATTTATTTTTCAATGGCCTCTTTCCTTTCGAAAGTTTAACAATATCATATGTATCATTTTTTCGTAATAACTACACTTTTTCTTTTATTGCTTTTAACCAATATTTTTTATCTTGAGTAGCGTGCACATCTTGAAAGTTCTTTAGCTCTCTTTCACTGATAACTAAAATAAAATCTAAACTTAGATACCTAGTAGATGGTTTATGCTCTCTAGTAGATCTCTTAGGTTAAGACTCTATACTACTTGATATCGAAATTAGCTCCCCCTACTAACACCCTTTGGTGAAGAGGACTGTTCACCCACTTAACACTCTCAGATAGAGAAGATTGCTCTCTTTGCTCAAAGTTGACTGCATTTAACTTATCATTAACTATGGTTGGCTTATTTATATCCTCAAATTCTATTTCTTACTCATTTTCACCATCTGTGACTCTTCCCTATAGAACCTTTGTCGATGTTGAAATATCACACCTAACAGTAACCTTTGTAATCTTCTCATTTTTCTCAAGGTATGCTATGTTTTCTTTTTTATGAAAAATCACATCTCTACTTCTGACTATCTTTCTTTTCACTGGATCCCATACCTCGTAGCCAAATTCCTCATCACTACATCCTATAAATACACACTATGTGACTTTATTGTCAAGCTTTAACTTCTGCTCTTTTGGAACATGCATGAATGTTTTAGACCCAAAAACTTTTAAGTAAGAGTATGAAGCATTTTTCCCTGTCCATACTCTTTCTGAAATGTCAAAGCCCAAAGGAATTGATGGTCATCTATAAAGCAAAAATAAGTTATGTTGACTGCTTCACCTCAGAATGGCTATGGTAATTTTACCATCCTCAACATGTATCTAACTTTTTCTACAATGGTGTGGTTCATTTTCAGCTATACCATTATGCTATGGTGTTCCAAGTTTTGTCATCTTATACCTGATCTCATGCTTTAAATAGTACTCTTCAAAGTCTTTGGATGTGTATTCCCTACCATTATCAGTCCGAATACACTTCAAAGGTAGCCCTATCATTTTTTCCACCATGGCATAAAATTTTTAAAAATACTATAATACCTGGATTTTATTTTTCAACATATACACTCAAGTCTTACAAAAAATGCCATCAATAAAAGTAACAAAATACCTGCTATCACCCAATGACTCGACCTCAATAAGATCACATATGCCAAAATAAATCAATTCCAATATATTTTCTTTTCTCTAAGGACTCTTACAAAAAAAACTTTATGATGCTTGCCAAATAAACAATGATCACATGAATCGAGAGACATACCTTTGGTTAAGGAAATGAAAGACTGTCTTGTTAAAACTTGCAACCCTTTCTCGTTGATATGTGCCAACCTTTTGTGCCACAAGTTTGTTAAAGCATCATTCTTAATGACATTTATCTGGTAGCCATTCAATTGCATCCATGTCTTATATATTGTGCAGCATAATTTTTTCCTTGTAACTACCATAGATCCTTTGAAAAGCTTTCACTATCTATTCTTTTATCAACTCTCATATCATTTCTTATTAAGGACATTCATCGCAAGTAAGTTCATTCTCATATTCGTAATGTATTTGACATCCTTCAAAGTCAACATATAGCCCATACTAATTTGTACAATAAATCACCAATCCTAATAATCTGTGACACACTCTTCTTTTTCATCTTGATACAACCAAAGTCTCTTGCTTTGTACAATAATATCACCAATACTAATAATCTGTGACACACTCTATTTTTCATCTTAATGCAACCAAAGTCTCCTGTTTTGTAAGTTATAAACAACTCTTTTTTAGGAACATAATGATATGTCGCTCCTATGTCAACTATCCACTCAATGTCAGGATCTCCAACATGATTACAATCACCATGTGTATAAATCAAAGTAACTGAATCACTATCTGAATTTACTACTACAACATTGCCATCATCTAAACTCTTGTCTTTCTCATCTTTCTGTTTTTGCTTCAAGATTTTACAATATCACTTTATATGACATGTTTTACCATAATGAAAATACTTCACTTTGTCTCTGAACTTGGATCTATGTTTAGACTTATTATGGCTTTTTAAGTTCTGACCTCTGTCGATGTTTCTACCCCTATTTTCTGTGACCAAAGCTTGATTTTTAGGATCTGAATCTTTTCACCTTGTTTCTTTATTAAGCATACTATCATTTACCATTTCCAATGTCACTTTGTAATCAGGAGCTAAATTAAAAACAATCACAATTAAAGTATTTAAGCTGTTTGGCAATGAACCTAAAAGAAACAATGCCTTCATTTCATCATCCAACTCAAGCTCTATAATAGTCATTCGATTACAAATATCTTAAAAATCACTCAAGTGCTCTGTAATTGATCGTCTATCTCTGTATTATAAAGTTGCAAGCTTTTTAATAAGCATAACTTTATTTATACCTATTTTTCTCTCATACAATGCTAACAATTTTTTTCAAACAGTGTGAGCATCTATCTCTTGAGTTACATGATAGAACACACTGATATGAACTCATTTTCTAATTATAGCCAGCATCCTTTTAACTAGTTTCTTTCAGTTTTTATCTTTTATATCTGCTGGTTTAGCCAAATCACTTAATACCGGCTCATACAAATATTTACAGTACAAATGATCTTCCATCATAGGCTTTCAAATTGAATAATTTGATACTGTTAATTTTATCATGGAACATGTATCACCCTTCATGATCTCAAACAGAATTTACTTCTGTTTAAAGCTGTTTTGTATCGATATTTCAAAATAATACTTGCTCTGATATCACTTTTTTAGTCTGAAGCAATAAACATAACAACGCAGAAGTAATATATCACAATAAACCCACAATAATAGACAATAATCAACAACGCAAAAAAAATAAAGTACATCAAGATTTACATAAAAAAACCTTTTAATGTAGAGGAAAAAAAATATAGACCACTAGAAAAATTCTTCACTATCAAATAATGGATATATAAAGTTCTTTTCTAACTAAAACTATAGCTAATCAACAACTAGAGAGATAATTGGAGAAATCTCACCAAATAGGTAACTCAATAAATACACCCTGGATTTATTTTTAAAGAGCTTCAAACTTGATCTTCATCGTTCAAAATGTAGAACTCTGAATTATAAACCTGCTAAAAAAGTTTCAACTTAATTGGACCATAGATCGACTTTCATTCAACCAACTCTCCTTTCTCCCTTTTCTCTCTATTTTTTGACTTCTTTTTCCCTTTTTCTTTTCTTAGTTTGTGGCACTACCTTTTTTTTTTTTCACCTTAAAATAGCCCTTACTTTTTTTTATTAAGTAATTAGGACTTTGTGTATGAAAAAAAAAAAGAGAAAAAAACAAGACCCATAACTTTTAATTGATCCAAACCCAATTACATGAGACTAGACCCTACTTTCCTAACACTTTTTTCTTCGATCTTCTTTCATTCAAGCTCAAATCAAAAGCCTAAAAGTTTTGTCGACCCAATACCTTAATGTGAAACTTAGTTGTTCTCTATTGCTATGATTTTTTTTTTGTATTTTTTTTTAGTTTAGGGTAGACAAATATGGATTTGTGTGTTTTTTAATATTGATAGGATATCGGGTGACTTGTAAGGCTCGTAATACCTTATTTATCCTTGTATCCAAACCTAATTACCTGTTTAGGATAATCGAATAAAAAATAAAAATTTTGAAGAAAAATTTTTTCTTAGCACTTCAAAAAAAATTTTTAAACTACTTTTTTCATAGATAAATTTGTTAAATTTATCGAAATAAATTTTTTTATTATTAAATTATTGTTTAATTATATATATTGAGAATGATACATTTGATAATTTAACAATAATATAATTATATTTTTTAAGATATCAAAACTCATTATGAACATTTGTAATAACAGAATAATATATTGTTTCAATTTTTCGTTAAAACTTTATATATATATATATATATATATTAACAAGTAAACACTTCAAAAAATTCTGGATTCAATGTTTATATGTTCGGGTAGAAATGTAGTGATATATTTTGGGTGTCTCAATTAAGTATTTTGTCTTGAGCTGAATTATTGCCATCAAACATCAAACTTTCATTAAAAAAAAAAAAAAAAAGTTGTCAGAACGAGATCATCGAAGGTCATTCCAACATCACCATATATACCAGAGTGAGCTCGATCTAAAGTTGGGACCTTGTTTTAATTTATGTCACTTTGCATGTGCTGGAGAATGTGAGGCCCTATTTTGAAGATTGGGCCCAACCCTTTTTTATTACCATATGCCCCGCCACTTGCGTTCTGTAGAAAAGTCAACCTGAACAATTGCTTAGGAACTTGGCACGCCGCAACACAAAAATCTTCCTGTTTAATTCCCTCACTATCAAACAGTTATACAACTAGCAACTATATCAGTAGGCTACTGCTAATTAAACTTCCCAAATACCCAAGAGCACAGCTTCCTACTCCGTTTTCTCTCTCTCTCTCTCTCTCTGATATTTCCTCTTTCTATTTAGGTGGGCTACCATTTTAACTGCAACGAGGATGGAAGAAAAGAATGAATATAAGAAAGGGCTGTGGACTGTGGAGGAGGACAGGATCCTGATGGATTACATAAGGATGCATGGCAAAGGGAAATGGAATCGGATACCAAAACTTACAGGTTAGCAGATTACGTTGCTTATTTAGTTACTAAAGCTGTCAGAATTTAACGATTGATTATTAAAATTAAAAGCTCAGCTGTCCATAACTAAAAGTTCAGCACTCCATGATAGATCTTACGCTGTCGGCAAATTACGTGGTTGTTGTCGTAGTTTGGCTAAGATTCAAAACTACGGCTTAAGTTTATTTATTTATTTATTTTTATACCCTCGGTATCATAATTATGGGATATAAACTTAATTCGTTGTTATCCTAGTTTGGCTGGAAATTTAGCGGCTAAAACTGCCTATTTCTTATCACTTACGTGCAGACTTGAAGAGGTTCGGCAAAAGCTGTAGATTGAGGTGGATAAATTATCCTTGTCCTGGTGTTAAGCGCGGTGATTTCTCTGAGGAAGAGAATGACCTTATCATTCGCCTTCATGATCTCCTTGGCAACAGGTTCATACGTCTTTCCTTTTCCTTTCAATTCCCTACCTCAAAATCCTTATTCCATTTCTTACTGTCCAAAGAGGGCTACCCTTTTTTCTTTCATCCCTCTGGCTCTGGTTTCGTCTCAACTACGTTGGAGAATCAAAAAGATCCATAGTGTTTTTTTTAATTAAGTGGTAAAAGATTCTTGAATTTTATCAGTATATCACTTTTTATCAAGTAGATTTATTTATATTGAACTTGAAAATTTATAAAAAAATTATTTTAATATATTTTTATTGATTTAAACAAATTTATCTAAATAGAATTAATAAATTTATAAATTTTTCTTTCAACTTTTCATCAGATTCAAACTCAAATAAGAAAAAAAAAAAAAAAAGCACACTTTTTTAGCCCACCAACTTTCTGTCATCTACAGTGCTTTAACATTGTTAAATCTAGATCTGATCACTGTTTGTTAGTACTTCTACTAAACTTTACAGCAGCAGCTTTCTCACAATTATGAGCTACTGGTACGTGGCATGATAATTATTGGCAATTATGCCATTTCCACGACTACTCTATTTAAACAAGTTAGCCAAGTCCACTCATATTTTATGCATCTTACAAACACCGGAAATCATGTTATAATTAATATTTCAGCTACTAGCGGCAAATAGTTTACTACCAGCATTGACATTTAGAGTTCGGCGGTATACTGAAGTTAATGAATTTTATCTTAAGGTGGCCCTTGATAGCTGGTCGGGTTCCCGGAAGAGCAGACAACCAAGTGAAAAATCATTGGAACACTCATTTGAGCAAAAAACTTGGGATCAAGGGAAAAAATAAAGTTAGCGCTTTTTCATAAATTTTATACAAAAAATTAAAATAAAATTGTAATACAATATTATATCCAAATTTTAGATTATCTCCAATGATGATATTGCAAGTGCGAGCCACAAGGTGATCATTGGGGAAGAGGAATCTTGAAGTGCTGGTGATTTTAAGGGTACGCAAGGGCTTATTACCATGAGTGGTAACTATGGAAGCTCTTCATGGTTTTTCATAACGAGCTAAATTTGCAAACAGCTACTGTGATGGAGTTATTAGATGAGTCTCTTGACTTTGTTTGGTATGGCTTGTAATATCATAATCTCCTCAATAGAAATAGGTTTTTATTTCTGCAATTTTTTTTAATTATTAAAATTTAAATTTTAATCATTGAAATTATAAATTTAGCATTCTATTAACCAATTACGCAGCCTTTAATTTCTCTAGATAAGCCACTTATTTCCATCCAATATATTCCAAATTTTAAAACTCAAATATCTTTAAGATAAAATTTTTAAATTCTAATTATGGGGTGCCTTATTGGTGATGTATAATAATAATAATTGTTTTCAGTATCATTTTCATTTCATAATGGATAAGCAATGAGAAATGCAATTTTGGGTTCTTGCTTTTTATTAAGAAATTCCCCTCCCTTTCATGAAATATAATAAACAAAAACCAAATTTGGTTGCACTAACAATACAAACCATTCTAAATAGACGTAGTTCGTACTTAAGAAATCTAAGACGGTAGCTCTAACTTTCTGCGAAACAAAAATAAATAAATACAATGTATATTTTTTAACAAAAGTAGTTTTTCACATTATCTTTCTCACATTTACTTTTCCTGTCGCAATCCAAACATAACCTAGTAAAATAATGTTTGTGCCAAGTTTCAAACTTGGGATAACCTTAGAATTATAAAAGAAGAGAAAAAAGTGATTAGATGCGAAGGCAAAGAATGTTCTTTGCATTTGTACTCTGACATGCAAGTGAAAGATCGGTATAAAAAAGTTGGAAGGAGAGAAAAGTGAGGGTTTGAGAATAGAATTGAATGATAGTATCTGGGTATCTCTATTTATAAGCGGAATGTGAGGGGTTTGTGGGATGTAATAGTAACGTAACTAAACTGACGTGACATGTAGCATGTCAAGTTGACCTAAAAGTTTAAAAATACCCTTAACTATCTTCTGGTAGTCCCTAATGGGGGAAAAGACCACAATCCCATTTAAACTAAAGCATATCAGGTTGACCCAAAAGTTTAAAATGCCCTTGGTTATCTGCTGGTAGTCCCTAATGGGGGAAAAGATTACAATGCCCTTTAAACCTAAAAATGCCCCTAACATTCTGTCTCCTATCAAACAGTTTGAGTATCAGACTAATGGATGCTTCGACTAACTTACTCTGGTGCTCATATTTTTTAATCCAACCTCAGTCTTTGTAAATGTAGGCTTTTAAAAGTTGCTCAAAATCTGACCTTGCATTACCAAGGTTAAATGTCTATAAGGTTAATGTGAAAGATAGACAAGAAAAATCCATGTCCATTCATCCAAACTTGGCGACCCTGAAATGTGCCAACCTAACGTGCTGGTCTGATCTCGAGTGCGTGTCTTTGGTTATAAGTGCAACTAATTTGTTCTAGGATTACTAAAATGAAATTCGCAATGAGGGGCCCTGAGGTAAAGGTGAAAGGATTTGAATAAACGAGCAAGGTTCATTGTTCGATATGAGACTTAATGTTTTCAAAAATTGGGTTATTGTGTCTACCTTAAGACTGATCTAGCAGTTGGTTTATCCAATTCGCTCAACCTGGGTTTTATGAGCGATCTAATTGGCTTATAGGGGTAAAATGATTGATTTGCCCCTTAGATATTTGAAAGTTACATTTAATAAGGAAAAAGGTTTTTGAGTAGTAAAATCTAGAGTGAGGAAGGTAAAAATACACTTTTCAATGGCGGTTTAACATGTGACGTAATCTAAGACATCCATTTATTTTAGGACACGACTATATAAAGGGCTTGTTAGGGCTTTTATTTTTTACTTTTTTACTTTTTTGCTCTCAATCTGAGCTGAGTTTACTAATTTAAACAACTTTCAAGTTTCTCTAACTTTAAAAGTCTCTTTTTTCTTTCCAACCGTTCTCTTTTTTTTTATTTCAGTACGCATTCTATCCCAATATCTACTAGTGCAAGTACTAGGGGTGAAAGAATTTATAGGGTAGAGCCTAAAGGAGGTGGACTTAACCATGACGATGATGACAGAGTCCCACTTATCATTGCTGGTAGAACTACAGTAAAATGGCCTTCTAATAGAATTTGATGTTGAAAGAAGAGTAATAGAGGGTGGAAGATAATATTTGTGCTCGATGAAAGCAGGTCTTGAATATGGATGAACTGTGTGCTCAGATTGACTTCAAGCTAGATAATTTTCTCATTTTTTCCTATCTCACAAGTCAGTCTAGCTTTTTAGATCAACCTTTCTTCTTTTTTAGCTGTTCTCTTTTCTAAAGTTTAGACTTTTCAACCTCTTACTTTTTTTTTATTACTTAATCAGCCTCTGTTGATATCTTTTCTTCTTTTGAGGAGTTTTTTTATCTTTCTTTTTCTTTTAATATTATGGTGCTTTCCACCACTATTTTAGCTTAAAATCTTACTTTTGCTTAAGAGTTTAAGTCTTCTAACAATAAAAGCTCCAATGATAAGGGGATTTTAAGAAAAAATAGGTGAGAAAAGATGACCAAGTAGATAGAGGTGAAGGTGATGGGGAGTCTTTCTCAAACTTAGATAACTTGGTTGAGGTCATTTTCTACATTCTCTATTCTTTAAGTATATTCCCTAATGATGCGATGAAGAATTTAAAGGGCCGGGTTAACCCAAAGACTACCTTAACATTTGTTATGTTTATCACAATCATTCTTTGAAGGTTAACTTTTGTTTTTCTAAGAAAAAGTATAGTATACTGGTTTTGAGCACCAAAGACCAAATCATTGACCATTTAGAAGCCTATTAGCTTTATGTGTACTAGGATTCAATAGTGGTCAGTTTGAAGTTCCCACTACATGTTTTATTTATTGAAAATTTTTTTTCTTATAATTTAACTCTCACTTAGTTCACCTCTAATTCATTTCGGTACATAGTATCATTCATCATTTTTTGTAGACACTTATATATTCTTCCCACCTTAGCTTTGTTCAGGGAATTCTTTCCTGTTAAGAGGCATCTAAGTGATAAAAGTGGTTTTATATCACAACTCGTCCAAATAAAAAATTATTTGTAGACTGTTCGAGCTCAATAAAGAACTAAAAATTACTCTTCTTTTATATTCAGAAAGATAAGAAGAATAAAAATAGTGAGTTCAAAGTGTGGGAGATTTTGAATGAGTCCAAAAATTTTGTTGATGTACTCATTGCTCTCTTCATGTTTGACCTCATAGATTGGGATAAAATAATGGACTTCACCTAAAAGAGAGAGTTGGTATGAAGTAGTAAACGAGTCCAAGTACTAAGGTAGGTGTAAGGTAACCTCGTAGGATCTTTAATTTTATTGATTTTTTTTAACTTTTAACTTGTCTTTGTAGAAATATCTTCCCAACCATCTAAAGAGTTCAATTTTCATTTGTTTACCCATGAGCCAAGCCCAAGAAAAGCCAAAAAAAAATTAACCATCTAGCTCAAAGCCTATTTTCAAGGAGGAATCAAACCAATAAACCTTTCTCTTAATAAGCATCCAAGCTCTTTTACTCAAGCTCCTACCACCATTAAAGGTAAGCCAAAAATGATGGTGCACAAGGAGATTTTAGTAGCTTTTTGTCCCTCGAAAAAATAAAAAACAGAGGCCTTCTCCTCTTTAAAAAGCCTTAAAGCCTAAGTTATAAAACTTAGCTCGAAAAAAATCTAAACGAGCTTGGAATACACTCTTAGCCAAAACCCATTAAAGAGTGTTGATATGGCTAGAAGGTTTACTAAGATCACAGTCCTTCCGAGCAGTAAGTCACATTTCAACTCGATTTTCATGCTCTTGTTATTTTTTTTATTTTGTAAGTCTAAGCTCGATTTTCCTTTATAGTTTATGAAAAACTTGCACTTCAGCCCACCGTCTGAGCTGGCCAAGCCTTACACCACGTCTATATAACTATGGCCTGCATCCTCAATGTTAGGAAAAACTTGAACGATTGGAGCCAAGAGAATAAAAAAAATTGAGTCCCTAACCAGTTTGCAATCCAGCCTTACTATCTTTTACAAAAAAAACTGGAGTAAAAAAAAATTAGATGAGCTAGCGCCAAGCTTAAGGGGATGTGGATAAAAAAGGCCTTTGTTGAATCAATGAAAAAGTAAGCTAAGTTGAAGCTTAGTGAAGCTCAAGTTAAGATCGCTAAATTGAGGTCTCAATTAGAGGCTGAGGTAAAAGAGAAAGAAAAGATCAAGCAAAAGACTAAGGAAGTCTGGAAGGAAAAGATCACTTAAAACTTCATGGTCTCTGAAAGATACACTTAGCTTTTATTAAATTCTCGAGAAACAATCTCCTCGACACTTTTGAGTTGGCTAAAGATAAAGTGGCTTTCAAGTTTGTCGACTTCAACCTCGACCTCTCAGATTTTAGTATGAACAATATAAGTTCAAGGTCTCCACCGTTTCAGTTTGAGAAGGAAAAGGATGAGGATGAAAATGCAACTATGGTCACCAAGCTAGAAGTTGCCCTTGTACTTGAGGTCTAAAAAAGGCCTACTATTGTTGCTAATTAGAGGAATAATTGAAAACCTCATATTTTTTCTTATTTTTAAAGAATTTTTATAAGTATGAGGTAGGATTTTTTAGATGAACCTCAAATCAAATCACTCTATGAAACTTCTATCAATCATTTTTTGTATTCACTCGATGATGTCAATGAAATAAAACATTTTTTGTCAAGTCTTAGTATAGTTTTCCCAATTTGTTTCTCTTTTAACTTCATTTATGCTTTAATGAAATTAATAAAAGAATCACAAGTTTAAGTTCAGACAAGTTAATCAGTTCACCAATTAATCACAAAGTTCAAGCTTGGGTAATCTTGAATGATTTGATAAACTGATCCAGAATGACAAGTTTAAGTTCAAAATAGGCAAGCTTAATAGAATTTAATCAATTATTTAAGAAAATCTTAAATCAACTTGAGAATCTAAATGGATGGCAAGCCTTAGGTTAGGCTTAGTTGGTTTTGAGGTTAGGTCGACCAAAGCCCAAGTTCAGGACTCATAATAAACGTAATTAAAATAACTTTATTCAACAATTTCTGAGTTATAAATGTGAGCTGGATTCTATCCTAGCTATTGGTAGTAAACTTTCAAA